GAAGAGTTCACATTAAACATTATTCTTGCAATAGTTTCTGAAATTTAGCACAAAATTCCCTTTTGGCATCCTGATCCAAAAGTCTGTGACACCCATGTCATATTTTTTATGGCGTTGCCATAGCGATGACATAAACTCTCCATTGGTAAAATCTACAAATTCTGGCACAAACTTTGTCCGATTTCATTCAAATTTTAATCATGGGTTCACACCCCGACCCTGAACAGATTTATAGAAGAAAATCTCAGGTGGGCGCAATAGCGCCCCCTAGGGAAATTGCACGGTAGTGCCAAAATTTACTTTGTTGTAGACATATAAAATTTGGTACACAGATTCATGGCATGGTCTTGATCAAAAAAGTCTAGGACGACCCCATGCCATTTCCCCATCGTGTTGCCATGGTGACAGGCTAAACATCTGACCTCGCCAATAGGCCCGACAAAAACTTTGGCGTAGCCAAACCAAATTTGGTACACAGATGCATCATGGGAATAGGAACAAAAAAGTATATTACGTGGTTGCTAGGCAACCAACAGGGAGTCGGTCATATTGGATTGATTGGGCCACCTGGCGACGAAGGCACAAATTCCTGTCCTCATACTTGAACGAACTCGTCCTTGGGCGTTTGACCCAGACTCACCAGAATCATTCTGTATCATCTAGACAAGTGGGACATTAAACTTTGTTAAAAGCTTTTTAAAAGGTCACACGGTGTTGCTGTGGCAACGGTGCAAATTTCGGGTTTGTTTTTGGGGCTCACCATCAAACTTCGACGCCTGATAATTTGCACAAACTTTGGCCAATTTCACTCATACTTTAACCGTGGGTTCACACCCCGACCCTGAACAGATTGATGTAAGAAAATACAAAAATGAGTGCAATACTGCCCCCTAGAAAATTTGTATGTAAAAATAAGGTTTTATTTGTCACAGATATACAACATTTGGCACCCACATTTGTGACATGGTCTCGATTAAAAAACTCAATGATGCTCACACCCCATTTACATTGTGTTGCCATGGCAACAAGCCAAAATTGTATCCTTGTCAATGGGACGTCCTGACACAAACGTTGGCGTAGCCAAACCAAATTTGGTAGTCAGATGCATCATGGCAATAAGAACAAAAATGTATATTGTGACCACGCCCCTTTACAAACCGGAAGTCCGCCATCTTGGATATTTTCTTTTGCCAAATTTTGAAAATTGCAGGGTTAAATTAAGATTTATAGGGCTAGGGTTGGGGCTATGGTTAGGATTACGATTAGGGTAAGGTTTAAGTTTAGGCTTATTACGGTCAGTGTGAGGTGTTTGCGGGGCGCGGCACAAGCACGCGCGAGGGCCAATCATTGCCGCTTGCGGCTATATTTATATTTATTTTTTTATTTTTTTATTATTATTATTATTATTATTATATATATTTTTTTTTTTATTAAGGACTGTTATCTATTATGTATTGTTTTTATTTATTTAATGCTATTCTGTGGTTTTGCTCTTATTTTATTTCACTGGTTTTATTGGTTTAGCACTAGTATCATTAAATCTGAGCCTTTATTGTATCATTATATTATTATTGTTGTGATTAGTTTGTGTTTGTGCAGCATTTTGGAAACTGTAAAGTGGATTGGATAATGTGTGTGGTACTTCAGCTCGTAGTACAGTAGTGCTGTAGCGTGACAGTAGTAAAGTCGACATGAGCGTGAGTGCAGAGAGGGTGAGATCATGTCCCCAGTGGACTCTGTCAGCTGTGCTCTTCCTCCATCACCATCCTCATCCCCATTCTACACTCACAATCCCAACATTTACAGTGACTCTAAAGCTGCACTGTGTAATATTTCTGGCTGCTCGTCTCCATTTGGACGCTCTGACTTCGCCTGGAATGTTCCGAGTTACAGGTCAGATCTGTGGAGAGGCGAGCCAGCTCAGAGCGAGAATGTATTTTTACGATGTATTTTTGATTTGTAATTCAATAAATGCAAGATACGGAGATAAGTTAATGCCCTACTGTGGAACATTTCGGCCCAAAGCAATAACATCTCCATGGAGACAAGCTGCTGATGGACCTCTCATCAAAAAAGTGTAGATTTAAAGTGTAATTTTCTGAAATATATTCTGTCATAACTATATGTATGTCCTCGATGGTGTAATTTAGCAATAAATAAAGAAATAATTATCACCATCACATTTTTATTACATTAAAACATAGTTTCCCAAACACTGGGTCATGACCCTCAGGTGGGTCACAAGAGATTTTTTTAAAACTTTTTTTGGGTCGCCTTGTCAAAATCTGCATGTAGGTCTGCAGTATACAGTTGTTATGTTTGGGCACTTTTTGGCTTTCCCCTGTTTTTTTTTATTGTTTATATTTTTTGGGAGCATTTCTGCGTAGTTTTGTTTTTGTAAGTTGGTTATGTTTTTGTAGTTTTTTTTATACTCATTTCCGGCAGGAGCCCTTAAATGTGCGAGCCCGGTGTCGCCTCTCTCTCTGTCTCTCCTCCTCCTCGTCCGCCGCCGCAGGTACCGGAGTGCGCACGCCTCCCCTGATCCTTCGTTTGGGTAGCATTTTTGTTAGCCGTTTGTTTTGACCTGGTGGGACCGGCTGTCCTGTTTTCGCTTTTCTGTTTGGTTTAGGTTGTTGGGTTTTTTTGGTCTTTAGTTAGGGGTGCTGGCATCGGCTCCTACGGCCCTGTACGGGGTTGGCCCGGTGTTGCACCCTTTTGTTCTTTTTGGCCGGCTCATCAGATCCACCTTTCTGTTGTTACTTTTCTTGGTTTCTTGGTTTGGGCATGGGTTAAGGGTGTCTTTTTGGGTTTAAAAACATCTCCACAGAAAGAAAAAAAAAAAAAACTCTAATCTTTAATTTGGTTTCTGTGTCCTTTTAAAATATGTTGGGACTCATCTTCCTGGGTCGTAACAACAGTTCTGACACATGTTGAAATGTTAGGACATGTTTTGTATAATTTCTAATATTTTTGTTCCAATATTGCTGGCTCAGTTAAATGTTGAATAGAAAAAGAATTGTTCTACGTTTAATATCCAAATAGGTGACTTATGGATCCTTTTATTGCTGCTTCGATTATTGTTTTTCATGGTTTAAAACTTGAGTGATACTAATTGTTCAGAGAGACACGATCACTCAATAAAATATCCTCATTAATGTTCAATAATGGTCAAATCCAACTTTATTTTGTGATTTACGAATAATGTCCATTGACTTGGGTTTGTGACTTTTAAAATATGGGTCCTCAGAAAAAAAAAAAATTGGATTAAGGCCTATCTCTCTCTCTCTCTGCTTGTTTCCATGGAAATGTTGTTTCTTTGTGTTTAATCTTCCACAGTTTGGCATAAAACGTATCTGTCTCTATGGAGAATGTTCCGAAGTCAAGTTTTAACTTTCTGTTTCCATGGAATCGTGCAGGTGAAAGTGACACAGGCCTAATTTGAGGTGCACTATGGAACTTTTCTGTCAGTCCACTATCTGCTTGTTTCCATGGAGATGTTATTGCTTTGCAGTGTTGGGAAGGTGACTTTTAAAATGATTCCCCTACAGATTACAGATTACATACCCCAAAATGTAGTTTGTAACGTAATCCATTAAATTACTTAAAGTGAGTAACGTAATCTGAATACTTTGGATTACTTGATTTGCTGTAGAGAAACAAAACCAGGATATTGTAACATAAGATGTTTTATCTGCTAAAAGAAAATAAAATGTTCAGACTTTATTTAACCGTATTAAAAATATTATTGATAGAAGAGGAGAAGGAGGCACGGTCCAGGCAGCATGGTTTAGTCCTGGTTTAGTCCTGGTTTAGACCTGGTTTAGACCTGGTTTAGATCTAGTTTAGTCCTGGTTTTAGTCCTGGTTCAGACCTGGTTTTAAACCTGTTTTAGAGCTGGTTTAGATCTAGTTTAGACCTGGTTTAATCCTGGTTTTAATCCTGGTTTAGTCCTGGTTTAGTTCTAGTTTAGACCTGGTTTTGGTCCTGGTTTAGTCCTGGTTTTAGTCCTGGTTTAGTCCTGGTTTTAGTCTTGGTTTAGTCCTAGTTTTAAACCTGTTTTAGAGCTGGTTTAGATCTAGTTTAGACCTAGTTTAATCCTGGTTTAGTCCTGGTTTAGTCCTGGTTTAGTTCTAGTTTAGACCTGATTTAGACCTGGTTTAGATCTAGTTTAGACCTGGTTTTAGTCCTGGTTCAGATCTGGTTTTAAACATGTTTTAGAGCTGGTTTAAATCTAGTTTAGACCTGGTTTAATCCTGGTTTAGTCCTGGTTTAGTCCTGATTTTAGTCTTGGTTTAGTCCTAGTTTTAAACCTGTTTTAGAGCTGGTTTAGATCTAGTTTAGGCCTGGTTTAGACCTGGTTTAGTTTCCAGCAATGAGTGCAATTACTGGGGGAAAAAAGAAAAAAAAAAAAAAAAAAAGGGGGGGGGGGGGGGGGGGGGTATAGCCCAAAATACCGTTGTGTAATCCATTTTTTTCAACAAAGTACCTGTAATCCAATTACCACTCACTGAAACAGTAACTGTAACTGAATACAGTTACTCATAATTTGTACTCTGATTACATAACTCCGGTACATGTAATCTGTTACTCCCCAACACTGTTGCTTTGGTATGTCATTGATCAGATCTGTGAAGAGGCAAGCCCGCTCAAAGTAAGAATGCTTGTTTTGTGACATGGTTCAAAGCACTAAAAAAGCAGATTTTGCAGAATACATTTTTGATTATTCGACAATAGCAGCACCAAAATGTCTAAAGTGTGACGTCCTGTCGTGTGTCTTGTTGTCGTTGGTTCACCTGGATAACCAAACCTGTGCTCGAGTATGCGACCCCTCTCCCAGATGAGTGGGGGGTTTCCGCTGTGCCCTCTCCCTCAAATGTCAGATGATCAGCTTTCAGAGCGAGCTAACTTTAGCCTCTCAGGGGCCACTCCTCGGGCCCCAAATCAGGACTGAAGCCGCCCGGGGTCTTTTTTAAACTCTGTCAGCTGGACGTCCCCTCCTCCGCACGCCGCACTCCGGCTCGCTCCACACTCTGCCTAAAACTCAGCAACTTTTTCAATGAGAAACTGAAGTTGCACAAGATTTCGTGTTGATTTAAGTGGTGGAAACGTACTTGGCTGTTTGAAGAAGCAGGTCGTTACTCCACTGGCCTTCAAAGTAAGTGGACTTCAGCTGATTGAGCTTGTATGTCTGTGTGTCAGATGCCCTTCCATTTATCTATATCTATATTTACATGTTGAAATGGAGGAAGGTAAAATGTCTTTAGTTAATCTGGGAATGCCGTGGTGTGGTTGGATAAATATGGAGGGATAATGGAGCTTGTCGTTCATTTAAAAAGGTTCAACATTAGTGCTTTTTCCATTAGAATAATTCTTGTGGAAACAGAAGTGTTTCAGTGGGTAAATGTTCGCCCATGAACTGAAAGGTTCCAAATGTGCCCAAGCTTGTGTCTTGTGTGAGAGTGAGATTGGTGGAGGGTGAAACTGTCAGCTGCACAGAATGGCAGCCATGTTTCTGTCTTAGGGCAGCTGTGGCTACAGGCGGCTGTGGCAATGACACTGCAACTGAGGTGCTAAATAAATCCCACGCATTAATGTGGTGATCATTTAACAGTGGAAATGAAGAGGTGACTGAAGAGTTTTAACTACACCAAATTTAACTTAAGTTAAAGGTACAGTGTGTAACTTTCTGGAGGAGGCACGGCACCTGTGTGATTCCATGGAAATAGAAAGTTAAAACCATTATTCCCAAAGGAACATGTCTATGGAAACCAGCAGGAGGCCCTCCTCCAGGCCAAATGAGAGTCCATTTATAGAAGTGTGAGTCTGCTCATAGTAAGAAAGTTGAATAAAATCCTCTAAAATAAAAAAAAATTAAATAAAAATCTTGTCTATATTTTGGCTAAAAAGTTACATATTCTGGATTTAAAATACTGATTTCAATAATGATCATTTAAAAATGTAATTTAATAATAATAAAAAAAATAATAATACATTTTTAATCAAATGAACAGTAGTTTCTTTAGTATCACAGTGTGGTTTTGCTCTGAAACAGCACAGACAACACAACATAAACTATCCTAAAAGATTCAGGTCCAACTTTGTCCAGTTTGATTCATACTTTTTTCACTTTTTTATTTATTCAATAGCTGTTTAAATCTTGTTTCAGCACTAGTGGATATTGAGGCAGTATATATTATAACTTCTCTTGACAACCCTGTCGGTCAAATGCACAGAAGAGCTGCCAAATATGTGTCAGTCTGCCCCGGGGCATCTGAAGGAACGGCACCATCTGTGACTGGCGAGAAATAATGAATGAGTGTCGTGACGTACAGTGTCCTGAGTGTCCTGAGTAAACGGCGCTGGTGAAAGGCTGTACCCAAATGACTCGAGTGTGACAACAGATCGGTTCCACTAATGCATTGTTATCAAGGGAAACAGAAAGACACACACACACACACACACACGCACACACACACACGATCTGATTAATATCTGACTCTGAGCAGGAGCTGGTGTGTCATGTTCTGTTCCACGATCTGATGTGAGTAATCTGATTATCACTCAGAGTCATAAAAAAGCTGCTCGAGGAGATTCTTCATGACTCTGAGCTGCTCCTGGTCTGAGGTGTGACCCCCGTTCAGAAATATAGAAACAAAACTTAAAACTGGCTCAAGGAAAATCAAGAGTGTGAGCACAAAAGTGTCCTGGGGTTTGCAGTTTTTGAGTGTGTTCTTATTTGCCTTTTACGGTTTTCCTTTTTTATTTCACTTATTTTTAGTGGTGTAACGATATCCAAGTCTCACGATACGATATCATCACAGTATGAACTTCACGGTACGATATTTATTGCGATATTGTGGGAAAGCTCACGATTAGTGATGTAACAATATCCAAATCTCCCTGTACGATATTTTCACGATATACATCTCACGGTACGATATTTATTGTGATATTTTATGTTAATATGCTACTTTTTCCTCTTAAAATACCTTGACAAGACTTAATCCAAAGAACTAAGACTTAAAAGTGTTAGAACTGTTATTTCTTCTTGTAGTCTGCACTGAAATGGAGCAAAGGATCATGGTCTATGTAGTTCCCTCTGTCTTTTTTTTTAGCTGTTGCTGCACCATAACTCTTCATTTAAGCAAAGAGACGTAATATCGTAATTCGATATATTGTGATGGTCCACGATATTATTGTGAGAACTTTACTGATACAATATAACGATATTTTGGTTATTGTTACATCCCTACTTATTTACTTTTTTTTTTTTTTATTTTTTTTAGCTTAACCAGAGACAGGGGCTGCAAATGAGCCTCTGTCTAGAAGCCTTATGTACATGGACATCAGTTATCTAAATGGTGGTAATGTTTAATTGTACTGCTCCTGTCAAATAAGACCATAAATAAATACAAATAAATAAATAAGAGAAGAGGGTGAGAACAAGTGGCTGCATTAAAGAGAAAATTAATCCATGATATAAAAAAATAATAAGAATAATGCATCGGTTTAATATTGCGCTTTCTTGGACACTCAATGATGCTTTTCAGAGCATTGTTTTTTCTCTCGATACCCAGTGGTGGTAAGCTACTATTGTAGCCACAGCTGCCCTGGGGCAGACCGATGGAAGCGAGGCTGCCAATCTGCGCCATCCGCCCCCCTGACCACCACCAACACTCACACACAACTTTCATACTAGGCAATGAGGGTGAAGTGCCTTGCCTAAGGACACAATGACAGTTTTTACGACGAGTTTTACACCTCCTGTGGAGGCGCCAGTGGTCTCAGTGTCTCCCATCCAAGTACAAACCCCTGCTGAGCTTCTGAGACCTGACAGGATCAGGTTTACTATAAGACAATATGACAACAGACTAAAATAGCAAATTGTTCCAAGGATCAGACCATGAGTAGAATTTTTATTATCGCCATATCCCCCAGTTCTAGTTAAAGATTCAAAGAGTTATTTTTTTTTTTTAAGTATTGTATTTAGTAAACATCCTGTGATGAACTGACACATGTCACCAGGTGTTGTGTGGTCAGATTTCTGTTGTGCTGTAAACACACACCAAAATCACATCTCATTATTGAGTTATCTGATTACGCTTGTTATCTGATTTCACTGACCATGTAATTGTGTCCACTGACAGAGAGTCCTTATCTGGTTACAATCTGAACGCTGAGTGTTGAAGAGCGATGGAAGCCCAGAAGAAGCTGGAGATCATCGGGGTGGAGGACGAGGCGGGGAACCCCATCAGCGCCCTGACCATCCTGTCCCTGCTGGAGCGCGTGGCCGGCATCATCGATAACGTGCAGGCCTGTCAGCAGCGCATGGAGGAGCGCCAACAGGAGCTGGAGAACAGCATCAAGAACATCCAGGGAGACGTCCTGAAGCTGGCCAAGGACCACGGCGACACCAGCGGCACCGTGGACAAGCTCCTGCAGAAGACACGCAAAGTCAGCGCCAACGTGAAGGAGGTGCGCAGCCGCGTGGAGAAGCAGAACGTCAGGGTCAAGAAGGTGGAGTCCACTCAGGATGAGCTGCTGACCAGGAACAAGTTCAGAGTGGTCATCTACCAGGTGAGGGAGCCAAGCACCAACACACACCACGCTCAGACTTAAAGGGCACTATGTAACTTTTGCTGATGGAAGGTCTGTCACCAAAGATATTCATCAGCCGGTTTCACTTTGTGGAAACCGTCTGACCTAGCAGCATTAGGATTAGGTTCGCTCGATGGTAGGCAGGTACTTTCTTTATTTAACCAATCACTGCTTTTTGGTTCTGATGTATGTAATGCGTCACTAACAGGGATAACTGGTATATTAAGCTTCTCCCAAATCTCGTAGGAAGAAGGACAATAACGTCTTTACCCTTGAAAAAATTCACCAAATATTCTCTTTGTTCCAGCTTTAAATCCTCGATCTCGGGAATCGTTGACAACACAGAATATACGGCTCTTCGCTGATTGGCTGGTGCCCGAACTCGTACTTCCGGGGTTTTTGTAAACCGTCTAGTGTATTCCAATTCCTGATCAAGTCACTGGAGAGAAATTAAATTGAGCAGAGGCACTATTTGGTGCCAGCCTGGTAAAGAATGTTCCACTGTATGGCACTGAATTTATCTATTTTGCATTTGTTCAGGTCTTTTAAGCCGCCCACACACTACAGGATTTTTCAGTCTTAAGTGATTCATAAACATAAACATAAAAGCTCAGACTACAGAGACGAGCAAAAGCAGATGAGATTTGAAATCTCCAAGCATAAAAATTTCAACGGGATATGGCAGTGAAGACACAGCACGCCACAAGCTAAAGCCTAAAATGACTCACGTTGAGATTCTTAAGTGTTTAAAATATTAGGTCATTGCACTTCTAGATTAGCCAGACTGGTGCCACCTAGTGCCTCCGCTCAATTTCATTTCTCTCCAGCGACTTGATCAGGAATTGGAATACACTAGACAATTTGCAAGAACTCCGGAAGTTGTAGACCGTGCAATGGTGAATCACTGAAGATCTGTGAAGCCATGATGTCAAACTCAAGCGTCTGTCTGTGTCCCTTTCGTGGAACAGCACAACAGTAAACAAAGCGTTGAGATGGATGTAGACGAAGACAGACATTCTGTGTTGGCAACGATTCCTGAGATCGAGGATTTAAAGCCGGAACAAAGAGAACGACCAAATAGCAGCGACTTGTTAAATTAAAAAAAAGTACCCACCTACTGTCAAGCGAACGAATCCCAATGCTGAGAGGTCAGAGGGTTTCCATGAAGTGAAACCGTCTGATGAATCAGGATAGTTCTACATTAGATGAAAGTCAAAACTGTGCTATAAATATGGTGCAATAGTTCACATTTAATGCACAGAAGGCTGCAGTAAGTTGAGTCACCAGGGCTAATCTGCAGCAGCTTCACTGTGCTCCTCATGGTGTGGATTTATGTCAACATACAAACTACTCTCACCTTTTTACTCTTAAAGAACGCTTTAAACTGGATTAACAGCACTGTTTTGTGGACTGGGTGACATTAATTGCGGAGGACACTTTTTAATGGATAATAGATGTAACAGTTTAAATGTACAACTTTACGAGAGATGATAAAGACTTTATTACTCGCCCTGACTTGATTGGCTTTTACCGTGGTGACGTTTTTATTGTTACGATATCGCAGAGCAGTTCAGAGTCACATTGGCTACACACATGAGGAGCGCACACACACACACACACACACACACACATGAGAAGCACAGCATACAAGGATCCAAAGTGGAGTACCACTTCCCCGAAGTCCGTGAGCGGCAAATCAGAGCCTAAATCGGGCAAATGATCCTGTTGTGTGTGGAGGACATTCTTACTTCTTGCCTTTCCACAGATCTGCCTTGTAGTTCCCGTCCTGCTACTGTCACCTGTTTGTCTCCATGGAGATTGATTAGTATAATAAAACTGTATGAGTGATGTATGAATGTAGCACAAGATTCAAGATTCAATCATCTGGACACAATTTTTGCAATCAACACTTTTTGGCTCCATCTAGAAGTCGTTTTCGCTTGATGGTTCTGGTCTGAGACTTTGGGATTTTTTACTACTCTAAGATTTATCCCACTGTATGTAGTAGTAATCCTAGTCGTGATTGTAATGACAGGGTCCAGATGGCAACCGCTGAAACCTTCCCTACAATAGACCTTTTTCACAATGGCCGGAAGTGCCGCGATGTAGGGTAAACATCACTTACTTTAATACTTTTCTATGGCAAAATATCTGTGGAAATGTCTCCACCGGCTTCATAAATCTGCCCAATCACCAAATCTTCATCCAACAAGGTCGACAAAGGATAAACATTCTAACATGAAGAATTTATCCACAACTATCAAGGTGAGAAAGACGAAAACGTAAAGGCGAAGAACGACGACGCATTAGTGAGTAACTTGTGAATTCAGACTGATTCTACAATAAAAATTTAAAAAATCGATTTCATGATGTCGATATTTGCATGGACAGAGAGATTTGTGCAGTTTAAATGCAAGACATGGAATCTGTGAACATCTGTAGCTTTTGAACTGCACAAATCTCTCTGTTTATGCAAATATCGGCATCATGAAATTTATTTTTTTGTTTTATTCATGACCATAAGATTAGTTTTGCTCAGTAGTTTCACTCATGCGTCGTTGTTGTTTGCCTTTACGTTTTCATCTTTCTTACCTTGATAGTTGTGGATAAAGTCTTCTTGTTCGTTGAAGATTTGGTGATGGGCAGATTTATGAAGCTGGTGGAAAAAACACAAGACATTTCCACATATATTTTACAATAGAAAAGCATGAACCGAAAGTGATGTTTACTCTAAATTGCGACACTTCCAGCCATTGTGAAAAAGCTCTATAGATTAGTATAATGCCATACTATGGAAAATTTCAGGCAAAGCTCTAACGTTTTCATGAGATAAGATCCATCATCAGAACAGTTCTTAAGTGTACCTAAATAAATGGAAGGACTGAGCATTCAGTAGTAGGCAAACAATATCATGACTTACTTAGAGCCAGATGTAATTTTCATTTCACACACTTCACTGCGATTGGCTAAATGCACCTGTCACTCACTCAGAGCCTTATAGAGACAGACCAGAGGGTGGAAAACGAGTGTGTGTTTGAGCAGACAGCTGCGTTAAATACAGACGTAGTGAATCATGTTATGATGATATGACCGAAGCGACCAGACGATCCTGTTTACTCTGTTGCTCAGTGTCCCCTGTCCCAGCAGATTTACACAAAACCAGTGATTTACTTTGTAGTTTTATACAAGAAATGTCCCAGGTGTTTCTATTTTGGACCAATTTGACACCTGAAAAACAGTAAAGAGAGGAATATAGAGTCAGTCCGTATGAAATCAGCCATTTTCAAGGAATCTCCCCTATGAGCCATCTCAGATTTGGCTGAAAAAAATTAAAAAAAATTCTAAAATCACCAAATGAAAGAATTTCAAATTTTAGCCTTGAGTCGTTCCCGAGCAATTTTGGGGCCATGCTCACTTTTTCGGAAACCTTCATTTATAAGCATGTTTGAGAGACCATAACTTCATAAAAAATAAAGCTAGGAAGCTGAAGATTTGTATTATTGTAGATTCTTGATTATAGATTCTGAATCTGTTGGTAAATATTGTGTATCTTTATTAAGGGAGACGCTGTGGGCCTCCAAAATCTCACATTTGGTTGCCGCTCAATTTTTTTTTTCAATTTTTGAGGTCCAAAATTTATTTACTCCAAGCAGATATTTACAAACTAACTGTTGAACCTGAATATTAGAGAGAATGACCATTTCTGACACCAATCTCACACTTTTCTGAGATTTCATGTGGACGGTGAAGAGTCCCAAATATGTTCACAGACCAAATGTGATCTTTTTGGCCCCTTCTTTGGACCCTCGGTTGTGGGCACAGTTAGATGTTGATAAAATTTTTACCAGAGAAACTTTGGCATATTCTGAGTAGTTTAAAGTAATAAAAAACATCTACTATTAACTTCCTTCATTTCAAACGGAATTTTTGAAAATTAGTTCTCACGGGTCATTTTTGGTGGAGCTCACGTACTTTTCCACCTGCAAGAAAAATTTAATTACCTTTAATAGCCTTAAACACTATTTGCTATTCGCTAAGAATCTACAGTAATACAAATTTTCAGCTTCATAGCTCTATTTTTTATTAAAGTTCTGGTCTCTCAAACATGTTTATAAATTAAGGTGTCCGAAAAAGTGAGCATGGCCCCAAAATTTCCACGGGCCATAACTCAGAAACGACTCAAGGGATTGAGCTAAAATGTGAGATTCTTTCATTTGGTGATTTTAGAAATTTTTAGAATTTTTTTCAGCCAAATCTGAGATGGCTCATAGGGGAGGACGGCTGATTTCATATGGACTGACCCTTATTGTCATTTGTTTGGCTAAAATACAGAAAACCGAGCTTGAAAATGACCATAAGGTAAAAAAAAAAAAATACACTGATAAAAGTACCTCAGATTTAATACTGACCCACAAGTGAGTCAAAAAGTAAAACTAATCATGTATTAAATGTTACACGCTCTTGTCATGATTTTATTTATACCAGACCGAGATCCAAACCCGGGTGTGTCCCAGTTTTGAGTTTTGAAAACCTGGTCAGCCTCCCAAAATAGTTTATAGCCACAGGAACGAGATCACCATTCATTTTATCTTAATCACCCACGCGCCCAGCCAGAGTTTAAAATGATTCAGAAAGTTGAGTCTGTCTTACATTTGTGCACCCCACCACCCCAACACCTCACCACCACCTTCCTGAAAATCTAAAATGACTCTGGCCCTGCCCCATCTGGTCCTCTGGAGGTTCGCCGGTGGAAACGAATACCTCAGCACTTGCATAATGTCATGAACACAGCTGCTGATACTTTGCCGTGACATTGCTCCGGGGATGTTCTACATGTATCTCTATAGCGTAATGTTCTGTAATTATCATGGAGATACAAAGCACACATAAGCAAACACTGAGGAAAAGTTTTAAAATGGTCTGAAAACTCAAGAGAAAATACAAACTGGATTTAAACAAGACATTTTCAGGAGCCTGTGATCAGTACTCTGAAGCTTTCGTGGTCTTGTCTGGGAGTTTGATTTTCAAAGAACAAAAAATTTTAATTAAATCAAACTGAAAATCAAATCAGATTAAAGTCTAAAATCCATGTATCATTTGTTCATTAGTTTTTCAAATAAAACCAAAAATAAGAAAACCAAAAACTTTTTTCTTCATTATTTGTCAAAATGAAAAAATGGATAACAATTACTTTTTTTCAGTTTTCGATTTTGTGTTTAAATGAATGGAAAAAACGGATAACGGACTGAACCAGGACTAAACTAGGTTCGGAACCAGAGCGGGACTAGACCAGGACTTAGACCAGGACCAGACCAGGACTGAGACCCGTACCAAACCAGGACTAGACCGTGATTGAGACCAGATCTTGAAACCGGGACTGAGACCAGGACTGAGACCGGTACCAGAACAGGACCAGACCAGGACTAGACCGTGATTGAGACCGTGTCCTGAGACCGTGTCCTGAGACCGGGACCGGACCGGGACCAGACCGGCACCAGACCGAGACTGAGACCGGGACCGGACAGGGACTGAAAACGGTGTAGACCTGGTTTAGTTCTTGTTCAGTCCGGCATCGCAGTTGAAGTTACGGAAACAAGAAACAGCCATTATCTGTTTTTTTCCATTTTTCATTTAAACACAAAATGGAAAACTGAAAAAAAAGAATCGTTATCAGTTGTTTTTTTTTGGTTTTATATTGACAAACAAAAGAATGAATAATATACAGATTGTCTAATTTGAAGTCATGGAGCTTCAGAGTAAATTTACATCACTCCCCTGAGGAATGGGGATAAGATCAGCTGCAAAGTACCAATAGTGTCGTAGTAGTTATAAAATAAGATTATAATTTATTCTCAGCATCCAGCAGTATTTTTAGACCTGCACATGCTCAAGTACATACATAAAATACCACATAGCAAAAGAACAAACTGGTAGGCTGCAGTGCTCGTGTTTCTCCTGATGAAAAGCTATGACCGTTTCCGTAGCAATTTACAATTTAAAACGAAATATTATATGTTATGAATGGTCAACCATCCTCAAAATGACACCCTAAAACAGAAGCTGAAACACATGAATATGATTTAAAAGGCTTGAACAATGTGCACAAGTGTAAAGAAACAGTGATAATGGACAACCTTGACGTGTCCTCTATAATATTTATTAAATTGGACATATTGTTATTGGTAACTTTGTCTGTGTGGGGTCTATACATTTAATCTATTACCAAAATTATCCACTACCAATATTTATCAAAGATTTCAAATGAAAATCCTAATTATGAGCTATTAAAATACTGAATCCTGACAGTGTCCAGTTGCAAAAGCTTTCTGATTAATGAATTTAAATTCTGGCAAAGCTGCTTTCAGAGCTTTAAATCTCAGGTTTCTATGTTTTAAATTGTGGACATTTCAGCATCAGTCATTGGAGAATTGTTATTAAAACCAGGACCCTGGGGTAGCTGGGGTCGCAGAGGGATCTTATTACTAAGTATGAGTATATGAAGTATCTTCCTTATAGAGACACGCCAAATGTGCATCAGCGGGACTGGCAACCATGTGACAAGAGGGCAGACCTTTAACCGACTATGCCACACTCACACTCCTTCAATGCAAAACCTTTACAAGTGAAGCCACACCTTTTTGTCAAAGCCTGATCACAGATGTCAGACGCTAAGCAGGTCTGGGCCTGGTCTGGACGTGGATGGGAGACCAGGTGCCACAGTGGGGCGCCAGTACCAAAATCTGTTGTTGTGTTCTTAGGCAAGTGTCAGGGTCAGACACTTAAACAAATGAACTAAGTGAAGAAGCCACAGCAAACACAGAATATGCAATTTTACCGCAAGGAGAGACAGGACCCTGCTCTTCCACGCTCTGCCTTCTCAGTCTCTCTCGGGGCTATGTCTCGCTTGGCTTTTTATTGAAAACACATATAAATGGGCGTATACAAAACATGGTAAGCAGTCATAGGTAGTTTACGTAATCTTCTTGAGGACACATGAGCTGGTTCCCCTATCACCCCTACAGTTGAGTTTCAGAAGTCAGATTTTAGATAAAGAAATGCTCAAACTCTCATTCTGGCACATCTCCTTTTCTACAGCACAGTCAAAATAACACTTTAGAGAGGTGAAACAACAAGATTAAAGTTACAGTATTCTAAAGAGCAGATGATTAAAACGTTTAGCAATGATAAAATAATCAATCATTCCAACAGCAAGACACTTCACCCACATTGCCTAGAGTGAATGTTGTGTGTGTAGTGGTCAGAGGGGCCACTGGTGCAGACTGGCAGCCTCACTTCCCTCAGTCTGCCCCAAGGTGGCCACAGCCACAATGGGAGCTTTGTAAATAAATATGTGAGGTACTGTGTACATCCACAATGCACTGATTACTGATTTGCCCTCAATTGAGTTGTCCTCGGTCAGAAGGACAGGCAACTCCACTGATACAAAGGTAGATGTTTATTGAAGAGGAGGGAACAGGTGATATTTGACGATGTTTATTGGTGGTTACATGTGTGGTGTATGTGTGTATGTATGGGTGTGGTTATCTGAAAAACAAAAACAACAAAAATATATACATTAGAGAACAAACAAACGATATGAAATGAACAGGGCTGCTATTATACAGAAGAACCACAAGTGGGCGCTCCAACACAATAAATAAATTGCACATGGACTCCCGTAGACCACTGGAGCGCCGCACCGTGTAACAACGATAGCGTTAACTTGAAATTAACAACTACACATTTCAAACAAACTAAACATACATTCACACACACACAGTTATAAACAATACTCACCCTGCATGAACGCACACGGCACATATACACACACAAAAAAAGACACAGGGTGCTCGAGCCCAGCATGAGGCTCCGCTACTTATGCCACAACAAGAGAGCGGAACTTTGGGGGCCTGAGCGTACCGGAACTACCATGCATTATGGGTATCGTAGTCCCGCACATATCAGACTTTTAACAAAGTAAGTAATGCAGTCTTTGGCTCAATGTTTGTGTTTTTTTTCTCCAGGGTGAGGCCGAGGTCCCGTCCGTGGCTGTGACCAAAGGACCCAAGGTTGCTGGTCTGGAGGCCCTTGATATTGAGCCGGACACGTACGACGCCCCTGCCGACCTCTCCTCCGATGAAGACTACCTGAGCGTGGAGGAGACCGAATCCTCCCGCGCCGCCCGCATCAAGAAGTCCGTAGCCAAGAGCACCGAGACCCTGAAGGCCGCTTTCTCCAAGGAGAACATGTCCAAGACCAAGGACAACCTGGGCACCAAGTTCCACAACCTGGGCGAGAAGGTGATGCCTCCAGAGCGCAGGGAGAAGATGCACCAGGCGGGTGAGAGGCTCAAGCAGTCAGGAGAGAGGCTGAAGGAGAACATCGCAAAGAAAGCACCCACCAAGGAGACCTTCAGGATCAAACTGAAGAAAGAGCGCGTGGTGGCGGAAGGGCAGGAGGGAGCAGAGGCCGAACCAGAGGCACAGCCCGCAGCCGTCACCTACACAGAAGTGACCACCGACGCCAAGAAAGACGAGGGCCGGACAGCGGAGTAGAGAGGAAAAGTCTTCACACGAGACAGAGGATGGAGATACAAGAACGATAGGATGGAAAGATCTGGAAGTAACTCAAAGTATGGATGAAAAGAACTGAGAAAAAGAGATGGACTTGAAGAATGAGAAAGTAAAAGAGAAGAGAATTTCAGAGCACGTTAACATGAGCTAACCTGTGGAGGCAGGAGAGGCGTTGGAACGAGGCAGGATGACAACCACACCAGAAGAAAGCTGGACCTAAACATGACTGGACATTTCTCATTGCATGCTTTACAGAGACAGTTCATGTAGATCCACTGGAGTTTCATTTTAAACGGTTTACTGTATGCCGCACTGATAATAAAAACAGTGACTTCCCCTGTGTAGAATTCAATGAGAAAGACACAAACCTAACCAGATTAATTTAAAGGGCCCATCTCATGCAAAATAACTCTTTTCACATTGTATCTTCTGCACATATACAAGCACAATTTGGGTTTTGGAACATCCATTACACAATAGTTCTGAAATTTTACTGATTTTTTGGAGACAGTCACAGACCAGGAACTATGAAAGTCCGACTATTGCTCATTCCCCTGCCTGTCCTGAGAAAGCACAGGCTCCGCCCTCCAAACGTGACGTAGGTTCTGAGTGAGCCGCCCTTCCTCCGCCATCTCAGGGAGGGAAGGGGAGACAGACGTGCACCCTGATAGCGGCAGGAATAAACTTTTATTCATCATGGACATACAGCGCATTCAGCCGCATGTGTTGGACCCGGAATCGGACGAGGACTTTGAGGAACACGAAGCTCAAGCACCGCGTCCACATCAGCTGAACATTACTGATTGATAAAGTATTAATAAACACTAGTAGAAAAACGTATTATATCGTGTTCACTGCAGTGTAGAACAATGAGCTTATGCTGTCGCTTTTGTTCAGGTGTTCATGTGGGAATTGTCAGCTAATGCCGGGTGGAGGTGGGGTGGAGGCGGTGGAGCGGGTGTGAAGCGTCATAGGTGTAGCAGCTTTTGTTCATTGTCACGCCGGAGGGTGGCAGAAATACACTGCAATTTGTTAAAAAAAGAAACATCAAATCAATCTAAAAACCACTTCAGCGACATTTACAAGGCCCACACATCACTCTTAGAAGCTAGAAAGCTCTGAAAAGTTGATTTTGCACGAGATGGGCCCTTTAAGCACGGTCCAAAATCCAAGATTGTGTGAGAGCAGAAACCTGGTTTATCTTCAAGGCAGAGGGGCATGTCCAGACTTTTTTACTGGTGTTGCTAAGGTTGCAAAATAAAAATAAAAAAAATGAAGAAAAATTTAAAAATACTTTCAAGTTTTAAGTAATTAAATAATGACCTTGTATAACAATTAAAAATCCATGTCCATTTCCTTAGTTTTGTTACAATATTAGTAAAGTAAATGAACAAAGTCATTTTCCCTTTACATATTTCCTCAGGTCATTGCCAATCCAGCAATCAGCCAATCAGATTCCAGGGATGGTCCTTGACCGGGTCATCCCAGTCGGTGCTCATTAAACCTGTAGTTTGGTCGAAGGTGGTCAGCACATGTGGACTTTCCATCTGAGAAAACTGGTTCTCAGCTGGTTTCTGAGAACGTCTACAGCGTCTTCTCTGCATCATTATCGGAGAAGAAATTCACAACAGGCTTTCTGAATACTCGTGATTTTAACCACAACAACCTTTTGAACTATTAGATCAACACAGAATGTATTTCATGTTTTAAGGCTGTTTCTAGATAGAGTAGGCCCAGTTGAAATAGTGAATTATTTCGTTGCATAGGACGCCTATGCAAGCAGTGATTTGTGAAGTGTGCTTCTTCTTTAGACGGCCGCCACTAGAAATGTGTTTTTCTTTTGTATTATAAATGTATTTACTGCTCCTATTGGTGGTTTTCAGATTCTACAAGGTGATAATTCTAATATTCTCCCAGATGGAGGCTCGAGCCAGAATTTACTATTGAAAATATTGTACTTTTACTAAAAATCGAATAATATTTATAATCTAATATCTAAAAGGAATTTTAATAAATGTTGAATCTGATCATTTCTATCTGTTAATAGACCCTAAAACCAGAGGTGGGGACTTGAGAGTTGACTTGATAAAATGGACTAAGACTTGGGACTCGACTTGGACTTAAAGGTCAGTGACTTGGGACTTGACTCAGACTTGAGGCCTGTGACTTGAGAAGATTGAAGCAGTTTTAAATCTCAATTCTTTCTATTCCGACTGTAATGATTCACACTAGATCTTGTCAAGACATTTAAAAAGGAAAATTTCTACAACTGTTCATACTCTATAAATACTAAATATATTATGATTTTCTAAGTACAGTTTCTTAAAAGTCATATAAATTGCAAAAATCTAAGCTATATTTGGTTCTTTTGGTTGAAAGCTCAAAGCAGACGACTTGGACTTGACTTAGACTTATGGGCCAGTGACTTGAGACTCGGCTTGGACTTGCCTGTATTTGACTTGGGACTTGACTTCGACTTGAGACTTACTTGAGACTTGCAAAACAACTTGGCCCCACCTCTGCTAGAACCCGCTGTTACTTCAAAATTAGCATTTGAACAGTATTAATTCATTAATTTTAGGAGCCCCACTGAATAAAATTATAGAATGTCATCTGAAACCCAGCAATTCTGAGTTTACAGTTGAATAACAGATTGTATAGTAACTCTTAATAAGCTTGGAAACCATTGTAGTGTGTCATCATCCAGCCCCTAGTCACAGAAATGATGCAACATTGTGTTTATCTGTTTATTTATGATCGTGCATGTTGGTGCTTCTTGACGTACAATCGTTGACAAAAGGGGTATTGCACAAGTCCTTATACATAGTTGTTATAAAACCTTAAAGGGCCCATATTACACTATTTTCTGATCTGTTATAATGTTGTTTCTCCATCACAAACACACAAACATAGCCTGCGCATTTGTGTTTTTGAGGAGGTGGCAACATTATAACGTGGCTTAAATCTCAAAAGAACCAACTTTGCGTCATATGGGACCTTTAAAGTGCAATAATAGTTTACGATCACAAAGTTAAATTCACATGAAACTTTGTGTTGTTGAACGTTTTAAAGGTGGAATCTACTGCCTCCAGTTCTGATGCACTGTGTGTGTGTGTGTGTGTGTGTAGCCGCTTGAGTGAGCATGGTTGAATAAGATTATATATTTAAATTAGCTTTTATTTATTTAGTTTTTGTGTTGAGTATAGCTTATAGAATATTAGCAGAGTTTAAACGACTAAATGAAATTGTCCAAGGAATGATATAAGGCCAGCGAGTGTGCAATACTACAGTTCTGTTCATATATTATGCATGTTTTACTACACGACGTATCACAAGACGCCCACTCACATGCACATTTTTTTAATAAACATGATTTAAACAAATGTTGTCATGTCTTTTTTTATGAATGACCTTAGTGAATCATTGTGGGAAAGTGTAGGGAGCATGGTTACGTTATAGACTTGACAGCAGCATATTTGGATATAAGATTACGGTGACCAGAGGACCAGACATATTTGCTCAAGACAGTTCCAGTTTTGAGCCCTGTGTCCCCTGTCCCAGCAGATTTATACAAAAAAGCAGTGATCTGTCCCAGTTTTATACAAGAAATGTCCCATGTGTCCCTATTTTTGACCAATTTGATCCCTGCAAATAGTAACGAGAGGCATATATTGTCATTTGTTTAAATAAAATACAGAAAAGCTGCTTAAAAATGACCAAAACATGAAGAAAATGTGGCTATACTGACTCACGTTAGTCATGAATGGGTCTTGTGCAAAACAGTTCTCCTTAATAATGCACTCGTTTCACAATTTTATTATTACCAACAACCACCGCAAACCGTGGGTGTACCAGTTTTTGATTTTGGAAATCTGGTCACCCTTTATAAAATGGATAATAGGTCTAGCACTAAGCAACTGGCCAAACATTAGATTAGCGTGAGCTCACACTTGCACACACACCACATAAAAACTGGAACTAAATTGGGACTAAAACTGGACCTAAACCTAGATCAGAAGCAGAACTAGAACTGGACCAGATCTAAATTCAAACCAGGACTAAACCAGTGTAAACCACAACAATAGATTTCAAAATCAACAAGAAACAAAAGCACAAGTACCTCAAATATCTACTCAATTACAGTGATGTATGTGCAATTTATAGGGTGACCAGATTTTCAAAATTCTAAACTGTGACACACCCGGGCTTGGATGTTTGGTAGAAATAAAATTGCGAAAAGAGCATGTAACATTGTGCATTCTCGTGCCAGTCATAACTTGAGGGGCTTCTGTCACTGCATTTCTTTTGCTTTATGGTCATTAGTAAACACTGTTTTGTGTATTTTTGCTAAATAAACAACAATTTATGCTCGTCTTTACTGAGGGTGGAGATCTGATTAGTCAGAAATTGTGATAGTCCTTGTTTAGACCTCATGTAGCCCTGGTTTACTTTTAGTTCAGTCCTAGTTTAGCTCAAACTGGTCAAAAACTAGGAACACGTGGGACATTTCTTGTATAAAACTGGGACAAATCACTGGTTTTCTATAAATCTGCTGGGACAAGGGACACAGCACTGAAAACTGGGACTGTATCAGGTAAATAGCGACATCTGGTCATCATCTGGTATCTAAATAGGACTCAAACCAGGACTAAACTAGAGTGAACAAAATAATAGATTTCAAAATTAATAAGAAGCAAGTACAAATACACCAAATATCTACTCAATTACAGTGATGTATGTGATGTATATGAAATTTATAGGGTTACTAGAGTTTCAAAATTCAAAACTAGGACACACCCGGACTGGGATGTTGGTATAAATGGTATAAATAAAACTGCGAAAAGACAATGTAAGACTGCACATTCTTGTGCCAGTCATAATCTGTCGTTGCAGTTTTTGCTTTATGGTCATTAGCAAACACAGTTTTCTGTATTTTTGGCCAAACATATGACAATTTATGATTAGTCAAGATTTGTGATAGTCAAAAATTGTGATAGTCCTGGTTTAGACTTGATGTAGACCTGGTTTTGTCTTAGTTTAGTCCTAGTTTAGATCAAATTTGTCAAAAAAAAATACAGATATCTGGGACATTTCTTGTATAAAACGAGAATAAATCACTGGTTTTGTGTAAATCTGCTGGGACAGGAGACACAGAGCTCAAAAGTGGGACTGTCCTGGGTAAATAGGGACATCTGGTCATCATCTGGTATCTAAACAGGACTCAAATCAGGACTAAAGCAGAGTAAACACAACAATAGATTTCCAAATGAATAAGAAACAAGTACAAGCACATCAAATATCTACACATTTACAGTGATGTATGTGTAATTATTTCCTTTCCCTTTGGTTTAAATGTTTTTTGGCTGTGGATAAGTGTTTTGTTTTTTTTTTTTTCATTGTAATGTGCAGTTGCCCGGGGTGTCCAGCAGGGGGCGGTAATTCACTGTCATTAGTTCTACTGCTACATCCGCTCGTGTTGCTCCGATGTTCTCTGACGAATAATGACATTTAATCAGAAAATACGGACGCTTTGATTAGTTCATGCAGACCGGCGTTTAGTTTAACTCTTATTTACTGAATTACGGAGTTACGCTGGAAAGTAGAGACTCTGGAGGTACTTTTTTTTTTGCCAGAAGCTAACACTAGCCGAGTTCATTAGCATTAGCTCTGCGTCGTTGCCCCTGACAACCGAGCCAAGCCAAACGCGTCCTGTTAGCTCTGCGGCTAACGCGGCTAACGAGGATAAACACGGCGGAGTGCGGCTGATCGCTGCCTGAATGTGACCCCCGAGCCCCGGCCCCGAGTCTGTGAGCACCGCGGGGCGATGGCGGAGGACGGGCGGCGGGGAGAGGAGGAGGACCGCGGCCCTGGAGCGGTGCACCAGGTGTTTGTGGTGATGGAGAATCTGCTGGAGAAACTCAAACTGCTGCGCTACGAAGAGCTGCTGGTCCGGCACAACATGAAGCCCCTGTCCCGGTGAGTGAAGCCCCTGTCCAGGTGAGTGAAGCCCCTGTCCAGGTGAGTGAAGCCCCTGTCCAGTGAAGCCCCTGTCCACCCCAGCCCCTGTCCAGTGAAAGCCCCTGTGAGGTCTAAAACCAGGTCTGTAAAACCAAGTCTAAAACAGGACTTAAACCAGGTCTAAACCAGGACTAAAACAGGTCTAAAACCAGGTCTAAAACCAGGACTAAAACAGGACTAAAACAGGACTAAAACCAGGACTGAAACAGGACTAAAACCAGGACTATACCAGGTCTAAAACCAGGACTAAAACGAGGACTAAACCAGGACTAAACCAGGACTAAACCAGAACTAAACCAGGACTAAACCAGGTCTTAAAACAGGACTAAAACCAGGACTAAAACAGGACTAAACCAGGTCTAAAACCAGGACTAAACCAAGACTAAAACCAGGAATAAACCAGGTCTAAACCATTTCTAAACCATGTCTAAAACCAGGTCTAAAACCAGATCTAAAACCAGGTCTAAAACCAGGTCTAAAACCAGGACAAAACCAGGACAAATCCAGGTCTAAACAATATGACACCTAACAGTAGGGTGGACATACTTTAAAGCAGCAGTGATCTCATGTAAACATTTCTCTATCAATAATATTTTCAATACGGTTAAGGAAAGACTGGACTTTTTATTTTCTTTTATCAGATAAAACAAAATCTCTTAGGTTAAGATCCTCGTCTTTGCTTCTCTACAGTAAACAAAAGTCTGTTCATGGAGACTTGGGCTCAACAGACAATTTGAAGAGAACAGACATGAATTTTCAGGATGTGGTCGCGACATTCATGTAGTTTTAAAAAGCACGACAATATCAAGTAATCCAAAGTATTCAGATTACATTACTCACTTTAAGTAATTTAATGGATTATGTTACAAACTACATATGTAATCTGTAATCTGTAGGGGAATACATTTTAAAAGTAACCTTCCCAGCACTGCCCACATCGTGAAGCCCCTGTCCCAGTGAGTGGCCCCGGGGCTCGGCCTGATCATGGAGAGGACCACCAGACCTGCCATCGCCGCCTCTACCATCAATCTGTTCTATTATGACATGGTCCTTATGCACTAGAAAGTTGGACTCGGTTACTATGGACTAAACAAAACCTAAACCAAGTGAATACAGGACTAAACCAAGACCTGATCCAACACAAACCAAGGGTGTTTTTACATTTGCACTGAACACCAAACAATAAACCTAAACTAGACTAGATCAAGTCTGGTGCATCAGGAATAAACTGTCTTCAAACCTGAACTAAACAAGTGTGAATGCTCCCTAAATCTAAATCAGAGCTAAAAACGAATTAAAACTGGTCTGGCGTTGACTTGGTTTGAATTTATTGATGTAGATTTGGTTTATTTCTGGTCTAGTATTGGTTTAGTTCTGAGTTTAGTCCCAGTTTAGTCCCCGAATTTGATGTGGTGATTGTGAAGTGTGAACACGCCAAACAAAGTCCAAACTATTCCAAATTCAGTACTAAAATGGTCTAATCCAGGTCAAAATCAGGACTATTCCGACCGTTAATTGTGATCTTGGGTCATTTCCTCAATAAAAATTGCAGTTACAATTTAACTTCTAATCTGATAAATATAAGAAGCAGATGATATTTGACTGACATGTGGAGAGAGACATTTACAGGCACATATTTGGACTTTTTAGTGTATCGACTATCAGCCTTAAATCTCCAGCATAGACGGACATGTTTTTTAAATCAATCTGCTGCTTAAAAATGCACAAAGTTTTATATTAACCCTTTAATGCAAGGATAGCTGTAGAAAATATGACTATACAGCTCCCTTATAGGTTTATGGTTTAAAAAAGGGCTCAGTTTGATCAATTTGTAGTCAATAAAAGTTATATACTTCAGCAGTGGCCATGAAAAAAAAAAACATATCGATCTATCTGTATTCCTGATGCATTGTTAAATTACCGTTTGACTCTTGTGATCACGATAATAACTACACTAGTGTTGTCACGATACAAAAAATTCTAACTTGATTTTGATACTAAGGAGTAGACCTGATACTCAACACCATGATTATTAAAAAACACTTTTTCTTTCGTCAGTATAATAGGATTTTCAACATTTAAATAATAGTATATTCTTTTCTATTCCCATGTGGTCTTATATTTGTGTAATTCCTCAGTGGTCCAGGTAGGTTCCACAGTGGTCCATGGGCATATAGTAGTTTATGTGCTCATATACTTATACTCTGAAACAGCTCAAGATCATTCTAAAGCTATTGCTCAGAATGTTCATAATTGCTGCTCTCGAGCTTTTAAAATGTTCATTTTAACCTTGTCTAAATGATCCTGGTGTTTTTAGACTTAGACTTAGATTTAGACAAACTTTATTGATCCAAAAGGGAAATTATTTGGACACAGGAGCTCACACATCACAATATAATATAATAACAAAGAGTAAAAAATATAAATGGTAATAATAGATTCTAAATGAGTAGCAAAGACAGGAAGAAATTGGTGTCAAATAAGGCATAATTATATAAATGTACACTGCAAATTTCTCTGATCTGGCCAAGATTTAAAAACTTAGATCAGGTTATTCATCTTGTTTTCAGATTTATTATTTACTTACTAGTTCTGAGATGCTTAATTCTAGTTTAGAGGGAGTTAATTCACTACTTTTAAGCCATTCTCTCATAGATTTAAGTGTTTATATCTTAAATTTTGTCCAAGCTTTAATCAATTCCTGTTTTCTAGTTGCTTATGGAACTCCAAATTCGCTCCTATAACTGTAAGCCTTCATTTGACTGGAGTCGAGTGCTATGTTAGACGTCACACTCCCTTTAGTCCACTTCTGTATACAGTCTTATTTAACCCGTGCCTCTGTCCCGTGTTGTTGCAGACATTACTTTGTGTCCAGTCCGTACCTGGTGGCAAACCCGGGGGAGCAGTTCTTCATGTTCTCCGTGCTGGCGGCGTGGCTCTTGAACGCGGCTGGGCGGAACTTCACAGAACCGCAGGAGTTTGACGAGCCCAACGCCACCGTGTCCAACATCCTGGCAGAGCTACGGACGTTTGTACGTGAGACACACTGACCGCACTCCAAGCACACACTGACCGCGCACTATACACACACTAACCACACTCTACACTGCAAAAAAAGATTGGCCAAAATTTTAGATATAAACACTTAAATCTATCAGAAAATGACTTAAAAGTAGTGAATTAACTCCCTCTACACTAGAATTAAGCAGTCTCAGAACTAGTAAATAGATAGTAAATCTGAAAACAAAATGAATAACCTGATATATGTTTTAAAATCTTGGTCAGATCAGAGAAATTTGCAGTGTAACCACACAGTAACCACTGATATTTTGTTTTGAGTGACCTGCAAAATACACATAAAATGTAGTTAATATGATTAACTGAGATTCAGGAGCAGGACCACGCCTCAGCCGCCCTCTCCTCTCACCAGCAAACCACAACTTACCTCGACCACGCCTCTAATTTCCCAGAAGCCTGTATGTAGCAGCCTTTCCCATCATCCCAGTTTGTCTCGGCGAACTCAACCCCACCCTCCCATCACCTATTTTGTCTTTCAGTCATAAGACCCCTACAAAGGGGGGTCCCGTTCCGACTGAGCCAATTACAGATTGAGACGGAGCCCCCACCCACAGTCTCAACCCAGCCATCTCTGCCTCGCTTCGTACATTATCAATATACTTCTTCGCACTGTCGTTGTTGGCGTGGTCCTAGCTAGTGAAACTTTATTTGAACAATCTTTGAAAGACATTACTGCTGAAACTGTGACTACACTGCTCTCTTATGAGTTGGTGGTGACAAAAACACTGTGGGTGGGTTTTTCGTAAATTTAAATTATATAATTTGGGGTAAAAAAATCTAAATCCGCCATATAAACCTTCCCAAAAATATCACCAGAGCTCATTGGTCATTGGTTGCTCTGGATTCGAAACAATCAGTCCTGGCATCAGTCATGAAAAAAAACTCATATCAATCGATCTTTAGTGCTTTGTTTCGTTGTTAAAATCCACTGATCATCAAACCAGCAAGATTTCGGAAAAATGTAGTTGTGAGCATTATGACTGTGATTCGATTTGCAACCAGTGTTTTAAGATTCTGTTCAAAGTTCACATTTTAAACATCTCCAGAGGAATTTACAAAAAGACTTAAACATGAAACAAGAATCACATTTCTGAACATGTTTGTACAGATTTAAACTACAGGGTTTGCAGCTTTTATGCAGAACAAGACAGGAGATTCTTGTTTGTGAAGGAAATTATGGTAATTTGAGTAAGTCTTTAAGATTTGCTCATGGCGTCTGTTCATATTATAGCCATTTTCATTCAGTTACGATTCATCTTGCAGCTCTACATCAAACCACACCTACACCACAGCACATAGGAATAAATGAATGTGTATACATAGAAACACAAAAACCCAGGATACTCAAAAAACCTTTATTATTTTTAAGTGTCTCTCTGTGTGTGTGTCTGTGTTTGTGCTCTCAGGGGGTGAAGGTGGACTTTCCTCCCTCTAAGCTCAAATCTGGCTCTGGAGAGCAGGTGTGCTTCGTGCTCGACCGATTGGCTGAAGAGGCGCTCAAGAGGCGGGGCTTCTCCTTCAAGCGGTGCGTTCAGGGAGGGGGCAGAGTGTGGGAGACTGGAGCACGCTGCTTTGGGATCTACATGTGTTTGTGTTTGTGTGCTGTGTTTAGGCCCGTGTACCCCACAGAGGTCACAGAGGAAGACGAGCAGCTGGAGGAAGACGCAGAGATGAACCTGAGCCGAGCCGAAGACGAGGTCATGGTGCGTTCACAGACATGCAGCTCATTATAATCATTTAAAGCAGTGGTCCTCAACCTTTTTTGCGCCACGGACCGGTTTTATGTCCAACAATATTTCACGGACCGAGGGGGGGGGTTAGGATCAGATGGTCAGATAGGTCCAGATACTCCGTCCTCAATGTGCTGGTTCCAGACGTGGCGAGTAAGATCAGTGCGCAATGAACTGCGTGCTGGACCCGTGCGGTGAAAGTGAGAATGTGCAGTGGACTACAGGTCTGGGTGGGCTGCTCTGATCCTGCGGCTGGTTCCGAGGTGGTGCAAAACATCCGGACAGAAGCAGAAATCTTTTTTTTTTTTTTTTTTATAATAATTTTTATTTGCAAACTACATAGATTACAACAAATAGGAACCAAACGACATACAAGATACAAGACAGACATTACGACTGAACATTACATACAAATAGGAACAAAGATGACAGGGGTTGGTGACAGTGTGAACCTTATGTGCGTGTCTGTGTGTGTGCGTGTCTGTGTGTGTGTGTATATGCGTGCGTGTCTGTGTGTGTGTGTGTATGTGTGTGTATACGCGTGTGTATGTATGTGTGCCGGGGGGGATAGACAGGCTATGCGGATGATTTAATGTTGACCTGTATTATTGCTATTTAATTTGAGTATTGAAAATTTGTTAAGTGTGTGTTGGCATTTTGCCTCAGATCCCCACTGAAGTGGGAGCAGGCCAAGCCACACTCATGCCCACCAAGGCGGGTGCGGGGGCCACCCCCAGGGCTCCGCACGTGGTCGCCCATCGACCAGGCCGGCCCACCCCCCAGCAGAAATCTGATTTGGTTCATTATATATTATTTTGAGCGTCTGTCCTCCGTGTGCTTCGGTCTTCCCGGGAAAAGCGCTTCCAGGGCAGCCGCAGGGTCTTAAAAGTCTTAAAAAGGTCTTAAATTTTATGTCCCTAAATTAAGGCCTTAAAAAGTCTTAAATTATGTTGTCCAAGTCTTATTTTTTTACAAAGGTCTTAAATTTCATTAGCCTATTTTTTTTGTTTACTCAACTGCAGTGCAAATGTTAAATGGATTGAGGAACAAAAAAAAATAAAACAATGTGAAATCATGTAACGTGAATGAATGTCTAATTTGGAGTATGTGCAAACAATACTCTGGTTTCTAACGATGAGTAAACAATCAGTAGACGTTGGATGGATCTTGGGGAAGTGTCGGTTTAATCCACAGTGGCTCTTCGATTCTAGATATAGTACCGTTGTTGGTTGGTCATTATTAGAATTGGATCTGGTGTTTTTTCGCCCGCATAATGGGTGCGATGCTGGTCTTAATTTTAATTTTAGTGGTCTGTAAAAGGTCTTTAAAAAGTCTTAAATTTGGGGTAGTCAAACCTGGGGATACGCTGGCTTCTCAGGCCGAGGCACCTAACATCACTCCCTGCTCCAGGTCATCTGAGTCCGGGGAACATAGGTACACATCCCCAATTTTGAGTCACTATGGAGCGACACATTCGCACATTGGTACTTGCTCTGATCTTCATATTGCATGTGTTGGCCATTGTTGACAAAATAATTCGAAAAGCCCATAATTTCAGGCAGAGGAGACACGTATCCCCTCCAATGATGCATTTAGAATAGTTTGTTTGGACCTAATATCCTGGTTTATTCTTGGTTTTAGTCTTGGTTTAGTTCTGGTTTAGTCCTGGTTTTGGTTCTGATTTAGTCTTGGTTTTAGTTCTGGTTTATTTCTGGTTTAGTCCTGGTTTTAGTTCTGGTTTAGTCCTGGTTTTAGTTCTGGTTTAGTCCTGGTTTAGTCCTGGCTTTGGTTCTTGTTTAGTCCTGGTTTTGGTTCTGGTTTAGAGACGTGGCCTGTGGGGCACAGTCCGCACAGAGTATGGGAAGGGGGGACAGGGGGGTTCACTTTCGCGACCCGTTACCAAATGACCCACGACCCGGACCTGGTTCCAGTCTCCGGCCTGGGGTTTGGGAACCCCTGATGTAAAGTTCATATGACGAGTTAGACCTCTGACTTTACTAAAACACAGTTAACATCATCAAAAAAAAACAAAAAGTTGATTTAAACAACACATTTTCAGCAGCCTGTGGTCAATATGAACGTCCATGGTCCTGTTTAAGAGTGTGATTTTCAACAATTTCTTTGGTAAAGTTTTATTTTACTCCTTGGTTGGACCTTCAGTTCTTCATGTCACTGTAGATAAGTCCAGTTTTTAAAGCCCTGTGTGTCTATTTTTGAGTCTGAATGTTGTTTGTGTGTTCAGGAGGAAGCAGAGGACGAAGAGGAGGACGTGATGGACCTGGACGCTCTCAAACTGCGCTCCACTCACAAGGTAAGATCTGCACGTCTCGGTGGAAGCTTCTCAGATCTGCTCAGATGTTCTCCTCACGATGCTTCTGTGCGTCCGGCAGCAGGAGCACGAGTCCCGTCTGAAGCCCGATGAGATCCTGGAGTCTACGGTGGACGCAGCCGAGTGGAACCTGGAGGTGGAGAGGGTCCTGCCTCAGCTCAAAGTCACCATCCGCACGGACAATAAGGTCTGCACCCGCCACAGCTCAGGTTCACTGGAGGCTCTGGACAAACCTGAGAGCTTCAGCTTTACTCTGTCTACATCAGTCGTTAAGCATAGGCCCTACGTTTAAAAATTGTGGGAGGCTCAATGTAACTGTAGGAAAAATATCTTCATGAGCTTTTCTAGATTTTATTTTTCAAAGTAACAATAATCTTACGTAATACATGGTAGAACTTTACTGATCCTACGGTGAAGAATCTGTTATGACAGCTCCTAATCCACAAGTGCAGTTAATAAGAAAACAAATAAATTATATATCCAAAAATACTGATACAATAATACAACAATACTGAAGGTACTGTTTATATTTGAGTTCATCTTCACATAGATTTTTTATTTTTTTTTAAATTGTGGTGGGGAAAAGATAATGATAAATAAAAATAAATATAAATAAAATAATGATAAATAATCTCTTTAAGGTCAGATTATTTATGGTGGAGGAGTTTCAATCCATTTTAATAGAAAAATTACTGCTTTTACATGTTGGCATGTTGAAGCTCAAATCTTTCTATATGCGGCAGAAAAAAGGGCACATGTAGGTATTAAATTGACCTTATACAACTGAGCAGATGTTGGGACTTTTGGATTCATGATAGTGACAAGGTCGGTGCATCCTGAATACTTTATCTATTATCTAGTATTTCCTAATCAGACTGGTGCCACCTAGTGCCTCCGCTCAATTTAATTTCTCTCCAGTGACTAGGTCAGGAATCAGAATACACTAGACGGTTTACATGAACTAAACCCCAGAAGTTGTAGACCGTGCACCGACCAATCAGTGAAGAGCTGTGAAGCCATGACGTCAAACTCAAGCACCTGTCCATGTCCCTTTTGTGGTATAACACAACAGTAAACAAAGCGTCGAGATGGATGTAGACGAAGAGAGACATTCTGTGTTGGTAGCGATTCCCGAGATCGAGGATTTAAAGCCGGAACAAAGAGAATGTTTTGGTGAATTTTATCAAGGGGAAAGACGTTATTGTCTTTTTTCCTACAGGATTTGGCGCATTACATGTGTCACGAACAAATAGCAGCGATTGGTTAAATAAAAAAAGTACCCACCTACTGTCGAGTGAACAAATCCTCATGCTGTGAGGTCAGATGGTTTCCATGAAGGGCACAATGTCAGTGTGAACTGTGAGCTGGAGTTGTTCTACTGTTTGTGCTGTCGTTGTTCATGTGTGGTTTTATGTGCACAGGACTGGAGGATCCACGTGGACCAGATGCACCAGCACAAAGAGGGCATCAACTCCTCCCTGACAGACGCCAAGGTGTGAGAACACTGCCCCCTGCTGGGCCCCGTCACTCCCCAATCTGAGTCACTTTTTGTGTTAGCATTTGAACTCTGCAGTGCAGTGGGGTTTAGATAGTGACCATTCAGATGAGAGAGAGGCATTTTAGGTTTAAAAAGCTCAAAACAGAAAAACACTGAGTTTAGTGTTCTGTTTAATACATGTTTGTTTATTAGGTTTTACAGCAGGTATGAGATTTTACATGCCTATTTTTGAAAACAAACGTTCGGAAACTTTCTTTACGTAAACTTCTACTTTCTTTATTTAAAGGTTCTTTATTACACAAAATTGACTCTTTTGAGATTTAAACCATGTTCTAATGCTGTTGTCTCATCAAAATCATAACCAGAATTGTGTTTGTTTCATTCACACGTTTGAGTAACTCTTTATTATTAATCTATATCTCCAAAGCTCAAAAAATGCTCGGTTCCACTTTGTAAGACAAGGGAAGGCGAGTTTATTTTTATGGCACAATTTGTACACAAATTAATTCAAAGTGGTTTAATAAGAAATGCATTAAAATCACAATATAAACAAATCAAAATGTAAATAATCATCATAAAATTAAAAAGAGAGAGACACTAAATAAGAGAGAAAAGTGTGGAATAAAAAATGAAAACCTTTCTGTCAGAACCGTTTTGAGCCTGGAGTCAAAGTAGAGGCCTGTCTCACATCTTCAGGAAGTGTAGTAGTTTTAACAGCTTCTTTTAGCTTTTGTTCATTAGAGATGAACAATTCCAAGTCTGATGTTGTTCAAATGGTTCTACTGAAGGTGTGTGGAGTTTAAAAACACAGTGGAGCACTTCCTGTATCACCACATAACATCACAAAATAGAAAAGTGTGTAGAGCTCAGTCTAAATGTGCAGGATTTGTGTTTTGAACATGCGAGAATGAAACAAAACACAACTCCGGGTCTGTCTGTGATGAAGAAACTACATATAACACAGATCAGAAAATAACGGAATGACAATTTAATTAACTAACTTTATTTACGGCGCAGGGTCACCTGAACAAACTGCAGGAGGACATCAGCAAAACCCTGGAGAAGGTCAGCAGCCGAGAGAAGTACATCAACAACCAGCTGGAAGGACTGATCCAGGAGTACAGGAGCGCGCAGGCCAAGCTCCGAGAGGTCAGTGAACGCACCAGATCAGGTTAGGTCGCTTCATTCGTGCTCCGTAGGTAAATTTGTGTTGCAGATTTGTGAGGCTGGTCCAACATTTCACATTTCATTCATCCACATTGTACAAAATAAACAAATAAAATCACAATTACAAATAAAGTGTTACAGTGCTCCAATGCAGAAAGGTTTTGTTCCATAAATAATTCATTCATTCAACACGCTTGGCTAAAAATAATCAAATAATACGATAAATACCGGTCAAAAGTTTTAGAAGACCCAAATTTTTCCAGTTATTCATTGCAATTCAAGTCGTGCAAGTCCAATGAAGAGCTCAGAATTGTACAAATGTAAAAACTGAACAGACAGAGGTTAAAAAAAAAAGATAAAAGATACAAAACACAAGTCCAAGCTCTGCCAAAACCACCTCAGGAAAAAAGAACAAGAGGGTTCGAAAACCTCATGGAGCTGGTTTTGGATGAACTGGACAGTTATGGAAACTTCTGCAACAGACTTGGGAAGAACTTTCTGAAGAATATTTGATTTCTGTTGTAAAAAGAACGAGCCACGAGTGTGTTCAGCTGTTATATCTGCCAAAGGTCGACACTTTCATCAATCAAAAGTTTAGAATATGTTTTGGTCACAACAGTAAAAAGTAGAAAAACTGTGGTGTTCTAAAACTTTTGACCAGTAGTGTATATATAAAACATGATTTTCCAAGACAGGGTGCTCAAATCGATAGATAAATAGATTACAATTTATTCATAAGAACGATAGCAGCTGGAACAAAGCTCTTTTCAAAATGATTCGTTCTAGATCTTGGGACTAAAAGCCTCTGACCACAGGGAAGCAGCTGAAACTGTGAGTTTAGTGCAGGGGTCTCCAACGTTTTTCCTCTTGTGAGCTACTTTTTGTAAAACGAAAATGCCAGAGAGCTGCTAAATTTAGAGTTTGCCAGAAAATTTGTAAATATAAGAGCCATGGTGAGCTGAAAATGAAGTACAATTAATTCATTCATTTTATTTGTTTGAGACATGTACACCAAAATTCAAAAACAAAAACAAAGAACATGAACATATTTGGGACCTGTTGCTCAAAAGGAGTAGGATGAAGATGTAGAAGTATATTTTTGTTTATGGTCGTACAAACTAATAATAATGTTAAAGTAGGCACAAAGTTTATTGTTTATGATTGTACAAAATAAACAAAAATGAGAATGAAAAATTTAAGGATCAGTCAGTCTATAAAACATAACACATTATCCAGTTATCAGTGCACAAAATTAGGCATCAGAATTATACATTTACAAAGAAAATAGGCATTTAATCAAACAAACTGGAGTTATTCAGCACAATATGTACAATTCAGAAATCCCTGGGTGAGCTACTTGGAAGGGAATGGAGAGCTACAAGTAGGAGACCCCTGGTTTAGAGGATGTTGCACATCTTTTAGAATCCTCTAGGACGTCTGCTGTAACTGTCTTGAGTACAGGGAGTCCAGACCGCTCTGAGGATGGACAGTCTCCTTTTACTTTCCCAACTGATTCAGGGAGTTCTTGTTTTTCGCAGAGATGCTCCCAAACCATGAGATCAGTGTTAAAACTGATTCCATAAACAAAAATGAAAGCAACAACAGCCTGGAATCTGCAGAGGTCTGTCTCTGTTTGTGTCATACCCATCTGTATCAGCGTTTATGTGTATCTGTGTTCCAGGTCAGAGAGCGCTACAAACAGGCAAGCGGAGGAGTCACCGAGAGAACCAGAGTTCTGGCCGAGGTCAGTGAATGCACCAATTGTGACCGTCCTAATGAAATGTATAGTGATAATAATAGAGAGGATGTTGTTGTTTTGTGTTTGTGTGAGACAGATCAGTGAGGAGCTGGAGAAGGTGAAGCAGGAGATGGAGGAGAAGGGCAGCAGCATGTCTGACGGAGGTACTCTCTTTACACTGAAACTCTGTGTGGTACTGTGTGTGCGGACTCGGTTATAACCCTGGTTTCTCTCTTTCTGTCCCCTCTCTGTCCTTCTCTCAGCTCCTGTGGTTCGCATCAAACAGGCGGTGATGAAGCTGAAGCAGGAGACGCAGCAGATGGAGGTGAGGATGGGCGTGGTGGAGCACAGCCTCCTGCAGGCCAAGCTCAAGGAGAAGAGCAACATGACCCGGGACATGCACCACGTCCCCGACAGCGCCACGGGGCCCTTCAGCTGAGAGTTTTTATAAATATATGTTTATTCATTTCATTAGAGATATTAAGTGTCCATTTAGCTATTTACCCGAGTGTAAGCACATCCATATGTCACACATTATATACATATATATACATGCACACCTACACATACATACATATATACATACATACATACTCTGTATTCATTTACCTTATGTTCATAACAATACTCCTTATTTGTTTATATACGCGTGTGGACGCATGCATGCACGCACCCACCCACATACGCACATGCATGCGTGCACACACGCACACATATACATACATATACACATTTAAATCCGTGCACCTATATACATATAGGCACATATACATATATTTCATATATATATATAATATATATATATATAAAAAAAATTTTAACACTTCATATTATAAAGGCAGAGCCTAATATTATATCTATTTGTATTCTCCTTGTGTGTGTATATATACATACATACACACACACATATGTATACATATACACATACATACACACACATACATATTCATATGTACCCACATACATACACACATATATATATATACATATATACACATACATACATATATCTACACTCATATTTTTCCCTTTAATCCCTTCCCCCGATTAATGACCCCTCACCAAACTAAATAAATAAAAATCACATTATGAATTAATAAACACACACATACACATTCATACATATTCACTCACTCACATACACCCATGCACACATCTAAGGAACAGTCTTCCTGAACATGTGAGACAGACTCTTCTGTGATGCTGTTTAAATCCAGGCTCAAAACATTTCTGTTTAACTGTGCATATAACTGAAAGGTTTTCATTCCGCACTCTTCTCTCCAATTTATGTCTCTCTTTTTACATTTTAATCTTCATGATTATTTATGTTTTGATTTGTTTTTATTATGATTTTAATGTATTTCTTATTCTGTAAAGCACTTTGAATTACTTTGTGTACGAATTGTGCTATACAAATAAACTTGCCTTGCCTTGCCTTGCCTAAGGTAGGGTATACATTATCTTGTTTCTTGTATTACCGGTGCCCATAACTCCTCAAATTCCTTCATTTTAAATCACAGTCTTGCTGTTACTCTTTCCATTTCCATCACATCTTTAACCTTTTCCCACCAGTTTTCTTTAGTAGGAGGTTGTGGTTTTAGCCAGGACACAGTTATCATTTTTTTTTGCTATTGAACTTAATATTAAAATAATTTTTCTATTTTTTGAAGATATAGTGGTTGGTACAATACTCAGTATAAATAATTGAAGATCTAAATTTAGTTTTTCTTTACAAATACTTTCAATTTTCTTTTTTACATTCATCCAGTAGTCTCTGATTAGGGGACAATCCCATAATATGTGTGTGTGTCTCCTGTCTGACCACAACCCCTCCAGCATTTGTCAGATTTTGTACTGTATTTTGTTACCTTTGTTGGGACAATAAAATATTGCATCTTGGATTTCCATTCAAACTCTCTCCATGAAATAATGTTGAACATTTTGTGTCCATCTTTAAATGATTTCTCCCAGTTTTCCTCTAATATTGTAATATTTCTTTCCTTTTCCCATTTGTCTTTAATGCCCATATTGTTGTCATCTGTATCAATCTGTAGGGCTTTATATATTTTTGAAATGAGTTTTTTAGTGTTACATGTACTTGTCATTAATAATTCTTCTAGATAATTAGGCTGATTACAAATATATTTCCAATCCTTATGTTTCATAAGATAATTTCTTATTTGTAAAAACTTATAAAAGTCTTGTGCTTTTAAACCAAATTCCTTTTTTAACTGTTCAAAAGATTTCATGTGTTCACCTTCAAAAAGATGCCCGATATAAACCAATCCTTTCTCTTTCCATTTACAAAATACCCCTTCCATTGATGGTGTAAAGTCTGGGTTTAAACCGATTTTAGTGGCCCTACAGATTGAATCAGACATATTTAGTTTTCTTTTTACTATAGTCCATATTCTTAATGTTGCTTTAACCCATTCATTTTTGATTTTTAAATCCTTTTGTAATTTCTTTGTAAGAAATGGTAAAGATTCTAGAGGAACCTTTGGGCAGGAGTTTTGCTCCATTTCCCTCCATCCTGTCTCATCATCCTTATCAGTCCAAACTTTTAGGGCTCTTAGCTGTGATGCCCAATAGTATTTTTTAATGTTGGGTAAGTTTAGGCCACCCTTTTCTTTAGAGCTCTGAAGTAGCTTGTACCGAATTCTTGGTTTTTGATTTCTCCATAAAAAATTTGATATGAGTTTATCTATTTTTACGAAAGTTTCTTTAGAGAGCAGAATGGGTAGGGATTGGAACAAAAACAAAAATTTGGGCAAAACATTCATCCTAATGACTTCTATTCGCCCCATTAATGTCAACGGGAGGATTTCCCATCGTTTCAAATCTGCACTTATTTCTTTTATAACTTTCTCATAATTGGCTTTAAAAAGATGTGATGTATTCTTGGTAATATTAATGCCCAAATATCTAAAGCCCTCATCAGTCCATTTGAATTTAACCTTCTCTTTTGTTTCAGAGGGACATGTACCTGATATACTCATAGCTACTGACTTAGATTCATTAATTACATAACCGGAAATTTCCCCATATTCAATCAGAATGTCATTCAATGTTGGTAAT